TGATACAGAACCTTTTACTAAGGACGGCTCTAAAAGAATTAAATGTAAATTCCTTCCCAAAGGTGAGCGTTACGATGAGAGTTGTCACAAAGAGAATGACATGCGCGTATCTTACCATCGATAGAGTCGGTTCTCCCGTGAAGAGCGGCTTCAAACAAATGGTCAGCGGTCTTTTCAAACTAAAAATAATAAWTACAGTAATGTTTATAGGGTCGAACATTACACCCTTCAACCATACAGCTATTGTAGAGTTTTGAAGATAGTATATTCCAATTCTATGTATGCAAGTTACGTCATCACCGCCATGTTGGATGAAAATCACAAAGAATTCCTCATTAATTTCTCTGGTTCATTCATCCAACATGGCGGCGATAGCTTTGTTCTTTATTTCTCAGGGAATCCCTGGTCATGTGGTTACACACCAAGAATACCGAAGTGTTTATTGGTCGCCTTTCTAAAAGGAAAGATAATAAGAAATCCAATAGCAACAATGCGTTTTGGTCTTGGAAAAGACAATGCAGTATCAAATTATTTACTAAGTTTTTAAAACAGATCTATACTTTATTCTAGGGTGCTACAATGGCTGCAATGCTTGCACCAAATCAATTCGTGTGACTGGTACTAAAGGGGGGGTCGGAATATTCATCATATTCAACCCCTATTGCAATCACAAATTACATTCCTAAAGCTAATTAAAGTTCGGAATTTCTTACCGAAGCCAACATCAGCACGCTTTCCTTCATTTTACTGAGACCGAACCGTGTTATGCCAAGTATTTCTCCCTAAAACATGAACAATCAAAATTTATAAGCTTTGAAAGTTTAACATTTCGGTATAAACTACAGCTGAACTGCATATTTTAAAGACCTAATCTTTGCCATTTTTTGTTTGTTTGTTTGTTTGTTTGTTTTTTGTTTTAAAAAGTCATCTATTGTTGAAAGAGGTGGAAACTAGCGGCAAACTAGTGTGAGCTGCGTCGGTGTTTTTAAAAAACAGTTGTGTAAAAAGATAAATTTAACACCGTAAAAAAAGGTTTCAGAGGATTAACGTCCGGAAAGTCATTGAGTTGTTTCACCTATTTTTACGGTGTTAAATTTATTGTTGAAAGTTCCCTTTTGATTGATTCAAAATCAAAGATGGCGATTTTTAATATGTGAGAAAAACGCAGAAAATTCTCTTATGTAAGTGGTCGTTTTTAAAAGAATGTACGGCGAAAATTACAAAGTAATGCGTGCTCTCGGAGATGACCTGGTTCCAAGTCTTCTCCTCGTTTTAGGAGTGACCAATAGCATACCTTGAAAGCCATGAGTTCAGCCAATAGCATGACATGTCGTACATCAATGCTCATACCATGGTTCTTCATTGTATAAATAATCTCATTCATAATAGTTTGCCTGGAAAGAACATTACATTATCACTAAAAGTTAATGCTCGTTTTGCATTGGCCAAGGGTTATTTAACAATTCTCCATATCTTGACGTCAGAATCCAACATTTTTTTATATCGCACACTACATGACGTCACCTATTGTGCAATAGCAAGATATGGGTTGATATCAGTTGAAAAACTCTGTAAACCAAAGACGATATCATTCGCGTTTGTCTACCTGTCTGTCTTTACTTGGTCACGCATGTTGAGCATTAGGCTATTCAAAGCCTAATTAGTGTTAACTTATCGAGGCTTAGCTCAATAAGTTTTTTTAAGCAATAAAAGATAGCTTGAAGCGGTTTACTCGCGAAATAAACCGCGCGGGATGGTTAAGAGAACACGAGAAAAGATCTGTAAATCACGATCCGTTAGTTGTATAACTAATCTTTTCTCGTGTTCTCCCAACCATCCCGCGCGGTTTATTTCGCCAGTAAACCGCTTCAAGCTATCGTTTATTGCTTTTATATTATAGCAGAAAAATTTGGAAAATTTGGGCCGGCGTCCACCATTTAGACTCAAAAGTCTTTCAAGACAGCAGGCTTGTTAACCGGCGAAATACACCATAGCTTTTCTCATCAAATCCGCCAGCGCGTGTGTTAGAATTGAGCTATAATCGAGCTTTGAACAACTCGGCCCAGTGCTTTACCTTGCAGCTTCTATCCCAAGGACTCTTTCCACCTCTATCGTGTTGTTAGATGAGCACGCTGTACCTTTGACGCCTGGAATGAGATGAATGAGAAAAAAATGAATAGTGAGAGAAATAAAAGAAAAATGGTCAAACACACTCTCAATCGTCCAGAATTACACGCAGATCAGAGTA